CAATTATATCTGGAGAGGAGCCAGTTTCTGAGACAGGTGTCTAAATGAAAGGAAGATTTCTAACTCTCTTCATGCGTCACTTTTCTGGGTTTGGTGGGATAGACTGAAAGTTCTCTGGAGACCTGAAGTATTATTTTACGGAGTTCACTTAGTTCGAGGTTCCTGCGTAGTGTTCCAGTGCCCGCTTTCTCTGCTGGTATCCATCTTGCAAAGAGATCCCAGGTTTGATTTGGGGACGTTTGGTCTTAAGGTTTTTAAGCAGTACCCATGCATTTCCAAGAATCTCTAACAATGCAATAAGAAACACAGCACTGACTGTTACAGTGCGAATATCACAACCTATTTAAGGGAATCATCAGGTAATGACAACAAGGATTCCAATGGGGCTCACTCTTTGATCCACCAGGAGTTTCAAATGGCAATTATCATTAATTCTTGGATCCCCTCAGTCCTGACAGAAAATCAAGGCATCAGAAACTATCATTTCGTGAACAGACAGCTATTAAAAACACATTAATAACCTATAGAGGGTATAGCATATGCCTTTTAAAAAGATTTGCAGCTTGCTTCTCTGTGGTGAAGACACAGGACTTCTCCAATCTAATTACAAAGCAATCAAACAATTTAATTAATCTGGAGATCACTTTCTTAACAATAGCTGCCTCTGAAATGAGGTACCCTGTGTTGCGCCATTAGATAAAGTATGATTTTCATACACTGCTGTGTATTAGCCTTGCTAGTTCCCCATGGGGATCGTGGAGTTAATTACCTACCAAATGCGTGACCACTGCTCAGCTTTACTTTACCAGGTCAGAAACAGCAGCAGCGATACCAGCAGTCTATAAAGTGTCCTAGCACTCAAACATCCAAAGCCAGCAAATCCCTGGGAGCAGCAGGATTTGAGTTATAAGCAAGTGCTGCACATATGGGCAGAGAATTAACTGGCACCAGTTTTCATTTGAGAGTCTCTCAGGTATTGCTTTGCAGATGGGTGGATGAATTCAGATAGCAGTGCTATGAGGAGTGAAGGTCATGTATAGGACTCTGGTTTCAATCTATCTTGCTCTCGTATCCTGGGGAAGCACTGTGCATGTGCACAGCAAACAAGCCCCCATCTCTGAGTTAAAAATATGTGAGATGTGCTTTCTAATTTGGCCTAATCTAAATTAGCAGTATTTTGATCACTGTATAACAAAATAGTATTGCTAAGTCTTCAGAGACTGAGTAGAAATCAATTTTTATCTCGAATAAGAACAACGACTTCAAAGATTGACTTCTACCTGTCTAATCTGCTGTTCTTATGATTTCTCCCTAAGGAGAATTGAGGAATTTTCCATAATACATGACACAAAAGTCTACAGAATGCTCAGTTACACTTTTCTTCTGTTACCACCTCTAGTCTATTTCATTTCCCAAATTGCTTATCAATGGGTCAGTCATTCTCCTGGTCCACCCACATTGGAAATCTCAGTCACCTTTTGTCTGTACTCTGTTTCCCCACTTATTTCTAATCCATGAGCGATGCTTGGTTTGCCCACCAAAATATCCTTTTTATTGGTCTTCCATGTCTTGCTCTAGCTTGTCCTCTGCCAGTCCCCTACCTACCCATATCGATTATACTTAGACCAGGTCAAAACCTCTGGTGTCTCTCTCTTGCCTCCAGGTATCTCTGAAGACCTCCCACTAGTTAGTACCAATAAACACAGTTCACAGCTCCTTGGCTTTGCCAGTCTGAATTCCCTTCAGCCAGAGAGCCTGTCTCTATTGCCCTACTGTGTTTGGGTTGTTTCTGACCCCATCCTGAAGTCCCCTTCTGTTTGTCCTCTTATCTAAAGCTTGCTGAATTGCCCTTAATTTGAGCTAGAGTCTCTTGTCCTTAAGGAATTATCAGGTGCTCTAGCCTGCTTCACCCTCACTCATTTTCTCTAATATCCCAAGACACTTAAGAGCTGTAATGATAATTCATGTGTGTGTGTGTATGTGTATTTGCATTTCAACTTAGCTTTTCAATCTGATATGAAACAAAGATCTACGATTAGTTACGTAATACAGATGGTTTTATAGTCTTGAAGTTGAAGATGTGCAAATTTGGGTTTGGTTTTACAGCAGTATAGGAGTAGATGAGAAGAAAATAAGGAAATTTTTCAACTGATGGACCTGGAAAGGCAGCCCCAAATGGGAAGGCAAAATCTGGAGATGAGGAATGGTTAATGGCAGTCTTAATTTTTTTTTTTTTGAGAGCACAGTTAAATTAACCTACCTCTTGTATTTATATCTCTGCCCATCCATCCTCAAGGTGATGGGTCACCATGTATTATAAAATGTTGTGTGGGCCGGGCGCGGTGGCTCACGCCTGTAATCCTAGCTCTCTGGGAGGCCGAGGCGGGTGGATTGTTTGAGCTCAGGAGTTCGAAACCAGCCTGAGCAAGAGCGAGACCTTGTCTCTACTAAAAATAGAAAGAAATTAATTGGACAACTAAAAATATATAGAAAAAATTAGCCGGGCATGGTGGCGCATGCCTGTAGTCCCAGCTACTCGGGAGGCTGAGGCAGGAGGATCGCTTGAGCCCAGGAGTTTGAGGTTGCTGTGAGCTAGGATGACGCCACAGCACTCTAGCCCGGGCAGCACAGTAAGACTCTGTCTCAAAAAAAAAAAAAAAAATGTTGTGTGGCTTCTTAGGGACCACTGACTGAAACCTCTAAAAGTGAAAAGGGCTTTAAGTTAATTTTTTTTTTTAGTTAATTCCTTATTTTTCCCTTTTTCAGATTTTAACACATTAACTGCCATGTGAGTTGTATTTAACTCGCTCTAGTTTTGAGGGAGGCATCTGTAACTCACATGGCTCTGTACTTTGGAAGCTGCGTGAACTATTTTTCAAGTTGCATATAACTCACAGAAAACAATGATAAATAACAAATTTTTCATTAAATTAGAACGGATTGTTTTGTTTTCAAAGTTTTTATTCTATTTTCATAATAAAACACCGTGGCCCCAAGGCAAAAAAAAAATTTTCTAGGGCAGCAGTCAATGCGTTAAAAAATATTTAATAAGCTCTCTCTAATTGTTCTAGTTAATCACATTATAATCTCCAGATACAATGTTTTCTTTACAAAGAACACAGTACTAAGAACTTGGTGCCAGGTTTCATTGGTCTTGTTATTTCATTTTAAGTGAATAGGGTACCAGGGATTGTTCTCAAAATGTCTTGGCTTCAAATAATCAGTTATTTTGTTACTCCTAATAATTTACTGGTAGTTTTCTCTATATGGTGTGTGAGCAAAGTGAACATTTTTCGCAAATGAAAAACAAAATCTATATGAAGATTTGTGGCATTAGATCATTTCCTTTGGGAAACAAATTTTTTTAGCCATCTCAAAATTATCAAGATTTTTTAAGGAACGTGAAGAGTAACATACAAGCTAAGTTCAGGGTGCAGAAGGAATGAAGGCTGTTGAGAGAAGTTGAAAGAACTTAATTTAGCTGTGTAGATAAATGGACAAAATGAATCCTGGATTACTGGATGGCAAAAGCAGAATCCATTTTCCCAGGGGCCCCAGGAACAACAGATGCAAAGGCATGATAAATTTCATTGCAGCAGGGGGAAAAATGCCACATGATTCGCTATCCATAAAGAAACGGGCTTCTCAGCGCTTCCCAGTTAAATGGCCGTGATTGTGCTGTCTGTCATAAAGTTAATGGCATTTGTTGAAGACATCACTATAAAATTTGCAACCTTAAGTTAATTGAAAATTTTCAGTAGAGATGTAGCCAGTCCAAGAGTCCTCAAGGTAACACTAAACTTACCCTTCTTAATGTGTTCGCCTATTCTTTTCGCACACTGGTAATAAATTGTTTACCTTTACAGCCACATACTGACTTTAACGTGAAATCTTGTATTCCTTATACCTAATTACAGTAGTCACTTTCGTTAAGAAACCAGTAATGTGGCAACTGATTTGCTGTTAGGGATTAAACATACCTTCCTGATTTATTTTCCCCCTTTAAAGAATGAGCAGGATTACTCTGCGGCCTTTCCTCACCCCCTTATTTAAAGCAACTACAGTCCCATGCGGTCCTCAGACAATTCTGCCAATCTAATTAAACATGCAGAGGGAAGCAGGGTGGTCTGGAGTGTCCTGAACTTGCCCTCACCAGCTGCCCGCCAGGCTTTCTCAATGATCAGCAGCAGGTTGAGTGGTCTAATGGAGAAAGTAACAAGCCCCAGAGGAGCTGCCCTCCTTCCAGTGAGCAATCACTGCTCCATACGGCCTCTGAAGGACTTGGGGAGACGTGCTCTGCCAGCCTTTGTGTGGCTGTGGCTTTTAGGAGCTGGTGGCCAGTCACAGTCCAGCTGCTCAGGAGCAGAGGGATTGTTGAAGAAAATATTGACAAGGGGTAATCCTGCTGGGCCGCCCGGCGATGCTGAGCTACATCTGGATCATTTTAGAAATAGGTCCGAACTGCTGGATTCTTCCCAGCATTTTATGACTAGTTCCGACACATGTACCTTTGAAATATGTACTTTGGAATATGAGGATTTATCTTCAAGAGCTCAGACTTTTATTCAGCCTACTGTAAATAAATACTAAGGCTGCCTCCCTAAAATTTAGAAAGCATCGCCCTCCCTCCCATTGAAGCATACACTTACCCATCCATCCTGCTCTTTGAAATGTTAGCCTCTGCAGGGTCACAACCAAGACATTTATATATCCATTATTCGATGGGACTGAAATATTTATGCGATTAAATCTATGGCAGACTGCCGCCTGGTGATAAAAGCGAATGTGTTTATTCCTGTATCTTGTGCACTTGGAAAACTGCTGGAACTCAGGCTCCCCCCACCCGCCGCCCCAAATCCCTGCTCCGGGTAAAACATTGGGGGGAAAGGCATTTTACAGAAACAAAGAATCTTATTCCTAAGGAGAAGATGATTCTGGATGTGAATAATGATACAAAAACAAAATCGTGTTGTAAATTTTTCTCTTCTTTCTCTCTATAGGAAATAGCCCTCAAGATAGTCCAAGAAATTTCTCCCCCAGTGCCTCAGCCCATTTTTCATTTGCACGGAGGTAAGGACTTTTGTGAATGGCATAATACAGTGTTTTGTAGAGAATCCTGTCTCTTCTCTACCCTGCCTTCTGCCTTGGAAGGTCCTGCTCATTCTCACGTAAGACCTCTCGAAAGTCCCCTGGCCAAAGGATCTTAGGCTACTGCAGAACTTCCTTTTAACACACCTGCTTCAACAGTTTTTGTAGTGGCTTCTGCTTTGGTTAGTTATATGCCCCTCTCTTGGTCCTTTGCTAAATGGTCCAAGTTGATGAGCTCCCAGTGAGGGCAGAACGTCACCCTTTCTGTCTCCCCTCCCACCCCTAGTGTGGTGCCTTGGACATGCTTGGTGCTCAAGAGATTTTTACTGAATTTTCTGAGCTGACGTTATTAAGACTTGATTCATCTGTGTCCTAGTGCAATTTTTTTTATTCTTGTCGAAATACTTTTTACGAAAATGACTTTCTTGGGGTCACAGAATATAAACTGTGAGATGCCTCTCTGTTTGAGAGCATCAGGTCAGCGCTATCTTGATCCCCCTGAGAAAAAGCTATGTGTGAGCTAGAGGATGTTTTGTGTTTTTGCTTCCTGTCATGTTTAGATTTGGACACCAAATATCAAAGATATATGTGTCATATCTAGGTCATTGAGTCAAGAGGAAGCATTTGTTGCTCAGGGGATGGTGGGCAAATGATCTAATGTCAAACCTTTTCAGTTATGGATTTTGTACTGTGATTTAGCCAAGTCAGAGGAGTGTCCATGGTCATTTCTTCTGCATTCTGCATGTGGAATTAGAGTATGTCACCTGTCACATTGCAACCTTCATCTTTCTGGGCTTCTTCACCCTTCACACATGTATGCCTTATCCTCCTCCACCATGGAAAAACACAGAGAAAGCAAAATGTCCCTTCAGCCAGATTTCTGAATATTCAGGATACATTTGGTTGATTGTCTGAATGTCTTAGATATTTGCTAAATTTTCTTCAAGAGACGTAACCACATCCTGAAGTAAATTAAAGTAGCACATATAGATAGGCTTAAAAAATATATTTGTTCTGGCCGGGAGCGGTGGCTCACGCCTGTAATCCTAGCACTCTGGGAGGCCGAGGCAGGCGGATTGTTTGAGCTCAGGAGTTCAGAACCATCCTGAGCAAGAGCGAGACCCCGTCTCTACTAAAAATAGAAAGAAATTTGCTGGACCACTAAAAATATATAGAAAAAATTAGCCGGGCATGGTGGCGCATGTCTGTAGTCCCAGCTACTCGGGAGGCTGAGGCAGGAGGATCGCTTGAGCCCAGGAGTTTGAGGTTGCTGTGAGC